TTGCCCAGGCTAGGCTTGAACTTGTGATCCTCCTGCCTCAGCCCCCGAGAGTGCTGGGATTACAGGCATATACCATCATGCCCGAACCTCATAATTTAACAGCTACAAAAAGACCTTATGGTGTGAGGTAAATTACGGGAGAATTTTTTTTACCTTTTAGCCCCTTTGTATTATCCTTTTCTAGTTTATATTCTTTCAGTAAAGATTCATTGACATTTATTTTGACCTAAAATAGCCCCTCAAGGTATAGCTTGATATCTAGGTGATTCCCAAGTCCTGGGGTTGTACATAGTGCTAAATTTTACCTTTCCACAGTCCTGTAAGGATAAAAAGGGACACTCCCTTAAGAATCACCACTTTATACTGTTGATTGATATGTGTAACAACTAGTTCACAGGCTTATTTTAAAGATACTACAGTTTACAGACTTTATTTCTCCAGTTATCGTTTGCTAAGAAACCCATTTTCAGTTGGAGGTATTTCCAAAATTGGTGTTAGTTGAAATGGTTCTATACCATTGTTTTAATACCTTTGGCACATTAAGGTATTGGAGAAATTACAGTATTACCAGTTGATGTGCACAGCTAATCATTTTCAATTGGTTTTGGTTGTGTGAATAGTTTGCTAATTCAGTGGGCTAATGTGTATATTACCTATTGAGTAATTTATCATTGAGACAGAACCTTGAACTGAACTAATTATAATGCAAAATGAAGACTCTTGGTTTTGACCTGACCTTTTCCCTATTTAGTTTCATTTCAATGGAGTAAAGGGTGACACTGGTATTGAATGATCTTTAATTTGTAGCCTTAGAACTTTTAACATTATCAGATAATGAATTTTTTAAAGTAGACTGCTTCAATTAGGGATTTCTGGCATCATGCAAGCTGATTGAAGTTATATATAATTTGATATCTGGACATTGAAGATAAAACAACACATAAACTTCATGGAGCTCAGCTGATTGAGTTAAACAACATGGGGAACAATTCTTTGTTTTGTGAAATCAGACAAATGGTACAGTTCTAATTTCAGATTTCTTCTGCTTTTCACTATTTTTGGTGTGAAGCAGCTGGGCTTAGGGCACACGCCTGTAACATTGTCCAGGTTCTGTTTTTTAGGACTTTTTTTTTTTTTTTTTGGTCTGCCAAAGAGATATCTTAAAAATTCAATAAATATATCTTTATTGGGTTTATGAACTAATTTATTACTTACATGGGGGAATTCAAACAAGAAATTTTTCAAACTTATAAAAATGTTTTTAGTCAGATTAACTCTTAGCTGTGGGCAAAGTAAACCTTAGAGGGCTCAATCCCTGGTGTAAAAGCTATACATGAATGTTATCGATAAAAAGATATTTTTCTCAATTTAGTGAATGATTTTTTTTCTAAGAACCTAGAGTTCAATATATTTCATTCTCTTGTTAATATTCTTTAAAATGGTAGACAAGTAGTAGTGTCTCTGTTGTACAAATGAGAAAGAGGTCAGAACTCTTCTTCACTGTTTGGGCTAAAATTTAAAATAAAGCCAAAATGCCCCATGTGGAGGCACACATCTGTAATCCCAGCACTTGGGAGGCTGAGGCAGGAGGATCACTGCAAGTTCAAGGCCAGCCTGAACTACATAGTGAGACTGTCTCAAAAAAAGAAAGAAAGAAAGGAAGGAAGAATACAAAGCCAAAATAACAACAAAAGCCTCTTTACATTCAAAGAAGCAACCCCAAAGGCCATTATGTGTGTTACTTTAACAGTTTTCTATTTTTTTAACCTTCTAATGTTTCAGAAAGGAATCTTAATTAAAATAACAAAAATGCCTTTTTCTTAATGTATAGTAAAATAGATAAGCATTGCATTTAAAATTTTGTAAAATTTTAAAGTACTGCTGTGGATGTTACTTGAGAATTTAGGTATTGATAGTCTCTTTATATTAAAAATTCCCCTGGGCTGGGGATTTAGCTCAGTGGTTCAGCCACCTGCCTTGCAACCGCAAGGTCCTGAGTTTGATCCCTGGTACCAAAAATAACTTCCCCTATAGAAAAGGAGTCATTTTTATTAGTCATGTAAGTGATAATACTACTGAAAAAATATCATTAGTTGAAGATTTATTTTAAGAGCCTTAAAAATTCAGAGTATTACAAAAAAGAAAAAGAAGAAAATCACCAGTACTTCGTTTTAGCTTGTGCTGTTTTCAGATTGTTACTGAGCTTTTACCAGAAAGTCTGCATTTTCAAACTAAAGGTAACCAATTCTACATTATTATCTTCATTTATTTAATCATCTACCTAAGATTTGCACAGATTCTTCCTTCTATTCGTGAACATTTGAACATATGACTAAAAACAGAAATGAGCAACAAAATGAAGGATTTAAGATTTAAGATTTTGGCCTTATGAAACTTTGCTTACTTTAAGTAACATGTTATTTTGCTGTTTTTCCCTCAGAAAAATTGACATTTTGGACATTACTTCAAAATAGAACTATTTTATTAGATTTATTCAGATACTATCCAGAAGCAAATCATCTTTCTAGGGCATGGTGAATATTACAATTAGCCACTCTTTTTATAGCTTGAAATTGGGGATTGATAAGTATACAAGTGTAGATTACGCTTGATATCTTACTTAATATTTCATAGTGGTGAGGCATAAGGTATCCTCTGACATGGAAGATTAAATTACTCAGTGGATTTTATTTTTCTTTTAGACTTCCACCTGAGTGCAAGACCTAATGTTATCAGTATTAAAGCTAGACATTAATCAACTTCTGTTCCTAAGCGAGAAAGAAAAACCAACTAGAAAGATGTTGAAGCAATTTAGAGAATTAACTTAAGTATATTTTAAAGGAGATACACATTGAGTCACATAAAAATCAGAAATTGGGATTCTCGGTGCTGGTTTTACATAACCCTCTGGAAAGTTGAATTAAATTTGTAGTATACTAAATATGTTTAAACTCTGACATAGTGATTTGTAAAATAGAGGTGTATTAGTTAGAATTTTGGATGGAAAAAGAACCAATAGGATGTGTATGTATCCCTATAGATAGGAATATGTTGGAGATTAAGAAGTCCCCTAATATTCAACATGCTTAGAGACCCAAAGGGGGACAGTGTACATTCCAAAAGCCTGCAGCCTTGAGATCCAAGAAGAGCCAGTTTTTCATTTTGAGCTGGTAGGCCGGAAAAGACTGATGTCTCAATTCAGGAAGTCAGACAAGAGAAGTTCTCTTTTACTCAGCCTTTTTGTTCTATTCCAGGTCTTCAACTAACTGAGTATTGTCCAGCTGCTTTAGTCAGTCTGCCAATTTAAATGTTAATCTTACCCAGAAGCACGTCTCATGTTTGACCAAAGGTCTGGGCATCCCTGGCCTACTCAAATGGATGCGTGAAATTAACCATCTTAAGAGAGAACACAGAATGTTCTTATATAGCTTTCGGTATTTCTGGAAGACTTGTAACTGGTTTATGACTAAGACAGTACCATTTGAGAAGCTCTACATTAGAAAGTGTGGCTTAAAGGTCCTGAGTTTGATCCCTGACACCGAAAAAAAAAAAAAATGTGGCTTACTTACATCAGTAGATAAAATGGCTGTTTATATATCCTAAGGCCTTCTTCCCCTACCCCCAGACATAGAGATACAACAACTGAGAATAAGTAAAGGTTAATTCATACATAATGCTTTGCCCCTTTCATGAATTGAACTATACCATTGGATATTTAACCATTTTTGCTTTCCAAGAAACCTAATCTGGTTTAAAAAAACAAAAGTATAATTATAGAGACATTCAAAGTAATGAAGGATCCTGATAGGAAATACATATATGAGAATTAAGAAAAGAAAATAACAGAGAAAAGCTATAAAAGCTAGTGTACCTTTGGAGATGTGGTATAGCTAAGGTCACATTATGACTTTCATGAGCCCCTTCCCCAAAAGATGTTTAGAATTATATTTTATCAGTTGGTATAAAGATGAATATATTCATATTAGATATGAAAATATTTTATGGGCCCCCTAAATGTATTTTGGGCCCTAAGCTCTGTGCTTACTGTGTAAGTTGGTCCTGAGCATTCAGTACAGTGATTAAAAATAAAGGTCTTAGTCATGCTGCTAGAAAGT